AGAGGCATTCTGGGTGGAATTTCAAGAGTTCTTTACAACTCCTTGAACAACTCCTTGAACTCTACAGGATTGCCTTTCTAGCACAGTCAAGATCACACCATGAACCACAGGGCACTTTTTACTGTGAAACTACCCTCACACAATACGTGTGACACACATAAATTTCTAAAAAATATGTATCTAACCTTCTTTTCAGCTTCCAAATTATGTGATGCTGCTGTGCATTTTACCTGGGGGGGGGGGGGGGGCGGGAATTAAACCTGTTACTCAAAAAAAAAAAAAATCAAATCACCAAATAGCATTTTAAAAAATGTTTTTACTAAAATTTTATTCTTAATAATGATTACCTTCAAAGTCAGAAGGAAGAGCGTGCAATGACTTTTTTTTTACATTCTATGTTATCCATAACTTTGTATGGATACCATTTATAAGACATATCTATGAAAAAAAACACTAGAAAAAATATGTAAAACATTTTCATAAATGTAATAGTGGCACTAAGATACATGATGTCCAGGTTAAAAGGCATTATTTCTGCCCTCTAAGAGGTTATGCCCTGAGAAGGAACAGGAAATTATGCCAGAGTTAGGATTTCTAAACTAACAGAGAGCATCCAGTAGTCATGATTTATTCATTCATTCATTCACACATTCACATATTTCCTGACTCTTTGCCAGCTATGTGAAAGATCTGAAGCCAGATCAAGGTAAAGAAAAACAAGACACATACCTAAGTCAAGATTTAGCAGTGGTCTCATTAAAAAACAATAACCACCTGCTACCCCCCAAAAAACTTATGGAATTCTGAGGAAAAGAGAAACTGAGTTTGTCCGAGAGCCAGAAAATGGACCTCTTAAGAGACCTCCATCACATTATATGTCTTGTGGGCATGCCACATGCTTTAGATCTCTGGGACTACTTGATTAACTTACTGTAACAGACATAATTTTGTAACTTGCCGCTTAAAGTTCTGGACTGCTGCCATTTTTTTAATTTACTCTCATCTTGCCACTATGGTGTTCTGGACCTAAAGTGAATCACCGCTTTCTAGGCATATTTCGGAAAATGCAATAACTTTGATCTTTCAAGAAAAAGGATTTGCATCAGAATAGCTAGCTACCTTCATTTCAAGAAATGTCTCTACCACAAGTGCACAGGTGCTCATCAGATGCTAATCGTGAGTAAACTAACTTTGGAGATGTTGGAACTTCCCATTTGAAGGACAGTAAAAATACATAATACATAATAAATTCCCTTACTGCTGAGAGGAAAGAGGAAAGAAGGTTGGCCTAGTACATGAGAGGATTGTAGATTATATATTACGTGTTCAATGTTTAAAAGTGGGAAAATGCTAATGACTAAAAAACTGCAAAGGAGTTAATAAACTTTAAAGAGTCTAGAAATGACTTTGATTCATAGTCTACATCTCTCAAACCAAAATCTTAAGATAATGTGAAAACTTTGCTAAATACAGGAAAGAGCAAGATTAGCAGTGAGCAATTAAAACGAAGTAGAGCTATGGGAGCGGCTTCCCCAGTGTCTCTGCAACAAAGAATCTGCTTGCCAAAGCAGGAGATACAGGAAACATGGGTCTGATCCCTGGGACAGGAAGACCCCCTGGACGATGAAATGGCAATCCACTCCAATATTCTTGCCTGGAAAATCCCATCAACAGAGGAGTCTGGAAGGCTACAGTCCTTGGGTGTCACAAAGAGTCAGACACAGAGAGATGGGAATCAGACTTGAGAGAGCAAAAAGTGGGGCATCTGGATTGTGGTTTCAGAAAGAAAATTCAGCAAAGAAGCTAAAACTGACCAAAAATCTAAGTTAGTTAACTAATGAAAGTGCTCTTTTTTTTTTTAAGGGGAAAAAAAGCTTTGATCTAAACTAAAAAAAAAATTGAAATATTGTTGGAACCTTTTTCTATTGGAGAACACTTTTGTCTAGCATTCACAGATTGCATGATGCATTTGAGATATACATCTAGTGATATAAAAAAATGGTTGAGAATTATTTCAAATCTTGTAGTGGAGAACCTCAAATGCTTCCGAAGAAATAAAGCATTATTTCTAAACAACGGCAACAGTATTTCCATTACAAAAAGTATGCAGATGTTCCAAAAAAACGCTTTTAAACCCAGAAACAATGATGTGTGTTAAAATTCATCTTAGACTTAATTCTTGACTTAATTCTTTTCACTACAAATGATCTCAAACACATCTCTGTCTCCTATTTTAAGAGAGATTTCCCAAAGTAAAAATACTGCAGTAGTTATTTTTTCAAAGGTCTGTCCAAATGATGAGTATCTTTGACCATCTTAAAACTAAGCAAGTAATAGATTTTAACCTAGAAGAAAAAGTTTTCAAATATTCCCCTTCCCTGAACTCAGCTGCTACCATGACCTCTGTTGGGATGTTCACAAAAAAGTCCCAGGGCGCCCGGTCCCTTCCTAAAGAAAAGGGCAGTGGGACGGGGCAGACATCCACTGCATTGTTCTTCTCTGTCTCTACTGGAATCTGCCCAATGATTCCAAATTGTAACTGTATATAAAGGTTTACGTTAATATGATAAGTAGAGAGTTTTTAAAACTGGAGTTTAAAAATCTGTGCCAGAATATTAAGCAAACTATTACTAAACTTCCTTTTCAAACTGAGTTGGAGTTTCAGTATTAAGAACAGTCTCAATGTTTATGTATGTTTTACCCAATCATGGTCACCAACTTTATTTTCTTTAATTAGGGTCCAAAAAAGTCATCAGGGATCAACCAGACTATAATCAAGAGTTATATTAGAGAAAGATACACTTTATTAGATGTGAATACTTCCCAGAACAAAAACCACACCACCATTAGGACATTCCTAGTACAGTGTATCATTTCCTTTGATGATCTTTGAACCAGAAAAATCAGACGCTCACAAAAACAATGATCATCTCAACAATTTCTGACCACCTTCAAAGTAAATCAATATATGTAATTCTAACTTAATCAAACAGCCACATAAATTCACACACCACTTTACTGTATTATATAAACTGGACTGCCTCACACCAAGTTGTGCAAAATGAAAACCAATCCAAATGAGTTAAACTCCAGAGTTTAGCAATGGAAAAATCTTGCATTTATAGGTGTAAAGTGTTTGTTGAAACCCTTGAGAAAGAATATTCTAGAATAAACCATTCATGTCTTGGTTAGAAACCAGAAGACCTAAGAGTAATATAAATGCATACACAGAAAGAAAGTGGGTTTCAAGTTCGTTTCAGGTCACTAACATGTAGAGCGAGCAAGGTAAATTCCTAGCACTACACGGCTGTGAGCTGTGCTCAGTTGTGTCTGACTCTGCAGTCCCGTGGACTGTAGCCCACGAGGCTCCTCTGTCCACGGGGATTCTCCAGGCAAGAATACTGAAGTGAGTTGCCACGCCCTCCTCCAGGAGATCTTCCCATCTCAGGGATCAAACCCAGGTCTCCCACACTGCAGGCAGATTCTTTACTGACAGGGAAGCCCTAGTTTACAAATTGAGGTTGTGTCTGAACTCCAATTCTCATCCTACTCATTATATATACAAGGATCACTTTTTCTCTCCAGACATCCAAAACACACACACACAACTTCATACTGCAAAGGTTAAAGACAATCTCTAAGAGTAGGACTTTCACAGTGCAAATCTGCCTTTCCCACCACTCAAGCTGCAGAGTCAACAGGGCAAAGAAAAAATCATTTACATATGAATGCAAGGACCTTTACCAAAACCAGGATAGGAACTCAAGGGTTGAAAAACACCACTTGCTAAATAATCTCCGGCCTAAAAAACTCTAACATCCTTTAGAAAACTCTAACATCCTTTAGGAACAACAGGACAGGCCCAAACATTAAAATTTTTTTTAATTTTAAGCATTAAAAATTCTACACAAAACCAGCGACTGTCTCCTGGTGTTTGAAACTCTGGGGCCTAAAGCAGTCAAGCTTTCTTTGGATCCTGGGTTGAGCCCTAGCAGCCACAAGACCCTACGAGTCAAATCAGGTTGGCAATCAAACACACAGTTCCAAGAAATCAAAGATCCTTTTCAATTAATTCCACCTTCCCAGGACAACTAAGACCACAAGAGTCAGCTGAAACAAATGACATCCACTACAAAGACAATCTCTGCAAGCCCAGATAGCACTCTGGGACTGCTACGCTTCCCAGGGACAAATAACAGCCTAAGATTACTAAAGATTATCGCAATCCAGCACCCAAGAGCTCAGTTTGGAGAAAAAAAAAAAAGGTCTAGGATGAAGACAAGAGGCAAGAAGTCAATGGGCGTCTTGCTATAAGTCAAGCCAGACCAGTAGTAATCAACCTCTTACTCTTTCTGGACATCAGTATAGGAAGCTAGTTAAAATCAAGACCACAATGAGTCCCCTGCTCCCCCTGGCTTACTGCTGTTTGTGAGAAAATGCTTATTTATAGCAGCTTCCCATCTGGCTGCTCGCGTTGGGCAGTGCCCAGACTAAACTTTTAAACCTGGAAGAAGGTGGGAAAGTCAGCCAGCCAGACGCAGCGCTAGGAAACGTAGACAGAAGGAGGGAAAGAGTCAAGTTTCAAAACAAAGGTTCCACAAGGAACTGCACGTCAACCACTCCCCACTTCCCAGCCTTCAAGCCAGCCAGGCTGGGCCTGAATTTTTAAGAAGAGAAATAAGTCAGAGGCACCCAGCTCTGGAGCTTTCACTAACGGCACGGCTACTCCCGAGAACCTTTGCACAACCACTTGATGAGAGTGGTGTTGCCCTCTCCCCCCATCTCCCGACGCTGGGGAAAAACTGGGGCTCAGAACTTAGGTGACTTGCCCAAGGTCCCACAGCAGAGCCGGAATTCAATTTCCTCCAGACCAGGGCGGGCCGGCACCCGGTGGGCACCAGGCGAAGGCCGCCGAGACTAGGAAGGCCCTCCTCCCTCGGGAGGGACCCGGCGCTGGGAGCCGGAGGGGCCCGGCGCGCGCTCCACGGCCCGGCCCCTACCTTCCTTGACTCCCGGCAGCTTAGACTGGTCGATGGTGACTTCAGCCATGATGGCCTGGGGTCCGGGCTGCACTTCGCCTCCGGCTTCCCGGCCGCCGCCTGCACAGAGCACGGCCCGGCGCGCAGCAGCAGCAGCGCCCGACGCGGCGCAAAGTCCAGCCCGCAGCGCTCGGGCCCGGAAGGCGGGGCGGGCCGCCGGGCAAGGGCTGGCGACAAAGGCGGCGGGAGACGGACCCGGGCGCCGCAGGCTGCGCCGCCGCAGCCACCTGCTCCCGCGCCCCCGGCCCTGATCAATACCAAATACCCGGAGCCCGGAAATGGACCCGGGCCGGCCAGTACGGAGGGAGAGAGGAGACAGAAAGGCGGGCGGGCGGGCCTGGGTGGGGAGGGGAAGGGGAGGGGGAGGGGGAGGGGAGCTGCAGGTCTGTAACCGCAATTCAGTGGCTGGCGAGCGCAGATCGGCTCCTGCGGCCGCCTCCCTGCTGTCTCCTTTGTGCTGAGTGACGCGCCCGAGGCTAGGGCCCCCGCCCCCGCGCCCTGCCTCCCTCCCAAGGGAGGGTCGCGTCTGTCGGCGGGGGCCTTGTGTCCTGAAGTCAACGGCCAAAAGGCCGCACGGATCCCCCACAACAGTCGTTACTGTGGCCGGTGTAGTCCCCATTCTTGGGCTCTTTCCACGGGATGCTTCCTGTGTGCCTGGCTCTCTGGGATTAGAGGAAAGATGATGTTTGGGCATTAAAAACTCTCTACTACAATGTACAGAACTAGAGAGCAGCTGATCAGAAACTAGGCCAGTTAAGAGAATGTTCACAACCAGTTGAGGGAACTGAGTCATTCATTCATCAAAAATGCATGAACGTCTCCAGAGTGCGATGTTAGATACTGTGGGTGATAACGAGCGTCAGACATCTCCCTCTTCTGGCATGTCACACATTGGTCTATAATTGTGACATTTTTCTTTCCCCGAAATAGCATCTCCTGGCAACAGAATTCTCCCTCCCTCTGGGAAGTCGTCTTCGGGAGGAGCCTCCTCTCCCAAGCTTGCGCAATCAAAGAACCTCTCCACCATCAACAAGCTTCCTCCCTCACCTACATACATTCATCTAAGGATGGGTGTGTGACCAAGACAAGTCAAGCAGAGTACTTCTCTGGGGTTATTATATAAAGAAGGACAGATAAGCATTGTTTCTTGTGAGGAGCGTTGACTCTTCTTAATAGAGAATGAGGCCAAACTGAAGACAGAAGTAAAGGTAAGAAGACAGTAGAGATGAAGAGGGTGTGTTCTGGTGTTACCATAGTAGCAAACGAGCTGGTCCTTGAGATCCCACTGCTCTGGATTCTGGTATTTACCTCCAGCATCTTCTCAATTTAGGCTAGCACATTTTACTACCTTAAACTAGTAAAAGTTGATATTCTGTCACTCAACAGCTCAAAGAATAACTGTATGAAAGGCCGCATGGAGGAGGGTTTATTGGTACTTGGCATTCATTGACTAAGATTGGCAAAAAATTAAGAGGATTTTCTAAGCCAGAGGGTGGCAAACCCTGGCCCACTGGATTTGAATGGCTGCTTTTTATGTGTTTAAATGATTACATTTAAGTGCTTATAGAAATACAACATAATATTTTCAATCTTGCCTCTTTGTACTCAAATTATAAAATATTTACTATTGGACCATTTTCAGAAAAAGTTAGCCAACCCTATTACTAGGCAGAAAGAACACCCAGTAAATTAAGTGTGTAAATAGAAATATTAGAAAGGTAGCTTTGTGGGGATTTTTAAGTTGCCTGCTGTAAGATATAGTTCGGGCCGAGGCAGAAAAGGAAAGACAACCTCAACAGAAGTAGGTTACCTTTATTCAGGCAAGGAGGGGCGACACTAGGCCTAAGGGCCAGGCTGAGCGCCAAGAGGGATCCGGGAGGCTCCATATTTATAGGGAGGTTTGTAGAGTGATAAGGGAAATGTTAATCAGGCGGGGTGTTTGGGGTATTCTTTAGTTGAGATGGCATTTGTAGTTGGGCAGGGGGTGATAAGTCTTCTGGGCAGGTGTAGGGGGTGGAAGGTTTCTGGACAGGGGTTGATAAGTCCCAGATAGATGCAACAGGCCTGGAGCATCAGGGCTGAACTAAAGTTCTGTTTTGTTTTCTCCGAAGTTAGATGATTCAGCAAGGGCTTTTGAGACTGTTGTTTTCTTTTCTAGGCCCAAAAGACTCCTTCACCTGCCTTCTATGACTTTTTCTTTTTATAACTTCCCGTGGTCATGGAGAATATTTATAATAACAGTATTGTCTGTTTTCCTGCCCCAGATTCATTGTCTTTATTTCTCTGTCATGCTGTGCTCTGGGAGGGTGACATTTATGAAAACATCACCAGGGTCGGCTTGCCCTGTGGCTTACTTTTGAGTTAGACCAGTGCACGACACTGGCAAAAGATTAAAAAATAAATAAATAAAAATAAGGAGAGAAATGTGAGGGTGTGTATCACATGCCTTTCCTTTATGCTAGCTAGGCCAAAATTTTGGTCATACTGTATCTCTCTGATTACAATGCCTGTCTATAAGCCTCTTTCCCAGTGTTCCAGCTCTGATGAGTCTCTCATAATACCATTTCTCTACAGTGCCCCTTCAGGCCTAGAATAGTAATGGCTTCACACTATTGCTGGTTCCCTTAACCATACCCACACCATTGTAAATAATCCCTTAATTATATTCTTTCCAGTTTAACCATTTTGAGTGTGCTTTCTTTTGCCTAGACTCTGATTAATATAGTTGAGATATGCCAAAGTGTCATTGCTTTGTTTTCCTTAACAACATCTACATTTCTTATGATCACTGTAAGACCACAAAACATATTCATCTATTCATATGATCTCCACTTCCTATTCTCTCGGTCTTTCTTGACTATTTCAATCATACTTTTTAGCCTCATTGCTCTAAAAAAACAGCTGTTTTTATTAGAATTAACAATGATCTCCATGTTGCCAAATCCAGGGGTTAATTCTCAGCTTTCCTCTTATTGGCTTACTATTTCCATATAATAGATATGATTCAACTCATCTTCTTAACACATTTTTTTGTTTGGGGTTTGTTTTAGTTTTTGTATTTTCACTTACCTCATTTATCTCCCTCACTTATCTACACCACTAGCCATGTTGTTAAAAAATGATTCAAACAATATAAGCTCACTTTTGAGGGTTCTTCTGAATACTGGTATCTACCAATTATTGGAGATAGTTATAGGCTTCCCAGGTTGCGCAATGGTAAAGAATCTGCCTGCCAATGCAGGAGATACAGGAGATGAGGTTTCTATCCTTGGTTCGGAAAGATCCCCTGGGGAAGGGAATGGCAACCCACTCCATTATTCTTGCCTGGGAAATCCTGGGGACAGAGGAGCCTGGCAGTCTACAGTCCATGGGGTCACAGAGTCAGACACAACTGAACACACACACATAAGCTAGAAACTCCACCTGAATTGTTTTTACGAGGTTATAAGAAAAGTATGTCTGAAACCAAATTCATATATACACACATTTAGGTACAAAAAATCATAAAATCCACTCTGAAAACTTAATAAGGTCTCAATTCCTTATCGTTTTATAACCTCTAACTACACAGTCCATAAAAGATTTGTGTAAGCACAAACATTATTTTGGAATCATGCCTTGAGCACCATTGTACAAATTAAAGACTGAAAGGTTCTCTTGGTTCTTACACCCTACCCAAAAAAGAGTGGGGAATTTCTTTAAAATATTTCATCCAATTCACGTATCTATATATTTCAAATATCCCCAAATTTAAACCGATTTCTAATATTCATTATATTGTGCTATGAAATTTCTGTTATTAATCTAAAATTTTTGAAAATATCTTAATATTCCTATTACAATTTTCTTTAGGGTGTAGCCTTCTGGTAAAATCCTAGGTTATAACACCTGCAGTTTGTATTCCTAGTTAGGCAACTGACCACCCCTAGAATGTACACCAAAACTAAACACACATACACACACAGTCCTATGTGACATTCTTTAAGGGTTCCTCCCAATTTCCTAGACCTTCAAATGCTGGAGTGTTTCAGACCGCACTTTATTATTCAAACAATCCCTTCCTAACTATTGTTATTACTTTTAGTTATTAACCCAGTCTCTTTGCTTTAATTATTAAGTCTCAGGTAAATGAAATTGCCAGTATGGCAAAATTTGACTGAAAAATAATTGACAATTAATGTGATTCAACCTAATATTCTGACAAACCCCAAAACTTGTATTTTCAACCCAAATTCTCCATGAGTTCTGCCTTCATGTATCCAGCTGCTAAGTTTCATATTCATTTAAAGGTTTGATTGGCTGTAGTGTCAAACATGTTGACAAAATAAGGGCGACAAGGACTGGAAAAGAGAACTTTCGATTGACTTCCAGGTTATTCATAAGGAGGTAGTGATAGGAGAGTTGGGAGAGAGTAATCAGATTACAGGGTTTTTTGTATACATATCAGTTCAGTGCAGTTCAGTTGGTCAGTCGTGTCCAACTCTTTGCATCACCATGAACCGCAGCACGCCAGGCCTCCCTGTCCATCACCAACTCCCGGAGTTCCCCAAAACTCACGTCCATTGAGTCGGTGATGCCATCCAACCATCTCATCCTCTGTCATCCCCTTCTCCTCCTGCCCTCAATCTTTCCCAATATCAGGGTCTTTTCAAATGAGTCAACTCTTCGCATCAGGTGGCCAAAGTACTGGAGTTTCAGCTTCAGCATCAGTCCTTCAGTGAATATTCAGGACTGATCTTCTGGTTCAAAAGCATCAATTCTTTGGCACTTAGCTCTCTTTATAGTCTAACTCTCTCATCCATACATGACCACTGGAAAAACCATAACCTTGACTAGACGGACCTTTGTTGACAAAGTAATGTCTCTGCTTTTTAATATGCTATATAGGTTGGTCATAACTTTCCTTCCAAGGAGTTATATATATATATATATATAAAGTATGTATAACATTTATATTTTAGAAAACATGAGTTTTTGCCTAACTAAAAAATTTGTGACATTTTGATTCCA